TTTTCAAAAATAAGATGACCATATGTGCGTGGGTTTATCTCTGATCTGTATTTCTGTTTTTGTGCCAGTACCACACTGTCTTGATTACTATAGCTTTGTAGTATAGTATGAATTCAGGGAGCCTGATTCCTCCAGCTCCTTTTTTCTTTCTCAAGATTTCTTTGGCTATTCGGAGTCTTTTGTGTTTCCATACAAGTTGCACAATTTTTTGTTCTAGTTATTTGAAAAATGCCATTGGTATTTTGATAGGGATTGCACTGAATCTGTAGATTGCTTTGCATAGTATAGTCCTTTTCACAATGTTGATTCTTCCAATCCAATAACATATATCTCTCCATCTGATTGTATCATCTTTTATTTCTTTCATCAGTGTCTTATAGTTTTCTGCATATAGGTCTTTTGTCTCCTTAGGCAGGTTTAATTCTAGGTATTTTATTCTTTTTGTTGTTGCCGTGGTAAATGGGAGTGTTTCCTTAATTTCTCTTTCAGATTTTTCATCATTGGTGTACAGGAATCCATGATATTTCTGTGCATTAATTTTGTATCCTGTTACTTTACCGAATTCATTGATTAGCTCCAGTTGTTTTCTGGTAGCATCTTTCGTATTCTCTATGTATAGTATCATGTCATCTGCAGACAGTGACAGTTTTACTTCTTTTCCAATTTGCGTTCCTTTTATTTCTTGTTCTACTCTGATTGCCATGACTAGGACTTCTAGAACTATGTTGGATAAAAGAGGTGACAGTGGACATCCTTGCCTTTTTCCTGATCTTAGAGGAAATGCCTTCAGCTTTTCACCCTTGAGAATGATGTTACCTGTGGGTTTGTCATATATGGCCTTTATGATGTTGAGGTAAGTTCTGTCTGTGCCCACTTTCTAGAGAGCTTCTGTTGTAAATCAGTGTTGAATTTTGTCAGGAGCTTTCTCGGCATCTATTGAGATGATCATGTGGTTTTTAGTCTTCAGTTGTTGATGGGGTGCATCACACTGACTGATTTGCAGATACTGAAGAATCCTTGCATCCCTGGGATTAAAATCCCACTTGATCATGGTGTATGATCCTTTTAGTGTGTTGTTGGATTCAGTTTGCTAGTATTTTGTTGAGGATTTTCATGTCTATGTTTATCAGTGATACTGGCCTATCATTCTTTTTTTGTGATATCTTTGTCTGGGTTTGGTATCAGGGTGTGATAGTGGCCTCACAGAATGACTTGGGAGTTTTCCTTCTTCTGCAGTTTTTTGGGAGAGTTTCAGAAGGATAGGTGTTAACTCTTCTGTAAATGTTTGCTAGAATTCGCCTGTGAAGCCATCTGGTCCTGGACTTTCATTTGTTGGGATTTTTAAAATCACAGTTTTTCAATTTCAGTAATTGTGATTGGTCTGTTCATATTTTCTATTTCTTCCTGGTTCATTTTGGAAGGTTGTACCTTTCTAAGAATTTGTCCATTTTATTGGCATATAGTTTTTTGTAGTAGTCTCTTAAGATCCTTTGTATTTCTGTAGTGTGCGTTGAAACTTCTCCTTTTTCATTTCTAATTTTATTGATTTGAGTCCTCTCCCTTTTTTTTAAACATCTTTATTGGAGTATAATTGCTTTACAATGGTGTGTTAGTTTCTGCTTTATAACAAAGTGAATCAGTTATACATATACATATGTTCCCATATCTCTTCCCTCTTGCGTCTCCCTCCCTCCCACCCTCCCTATCCCACCCCTCCAGGTGGTCACAAAGCACCGAGCTGATCTCCCTGTGCTATGTGGCTGCTTCCCACTAGCTATCTATTTTACGTTTGGTAGTGTATATATGTCCATGCCACTCTCTCGCTTTGTCACAGCTTACCCAAGTCCATTCTCTAATAGGTCTGGGTCTTTATTCCTGTCTTACCCCTAGGTTCTTCATGACATTTTTCTTCTTAAATTCTATATATGTGTGTTAGCATATGGTATTTGTCTTTCTCTTTCTGACTTACTTCACTCTGTATGACAGACTCTCGGTCTATCTACCTCATTACAAATAGCTCAATTTCGTTTCTTTTTATGGCTGAGTAATATTCCATTGTATATGTGTGCCACATCTTCTTTATCCATTTATCCGATGACCTTTTTTTTTTTTTTTTGATGAGTCTGGCTTAAGGTTTATCTTCTCAAAGAACCAGCTTTTAGTTTCATTGATCTTTGCTATTGTTTCATTTATTTCTGCTCTGATCTTTATGATTTCTTTCCTTCTACTAGGTTTTGTTTGTGCTTCCTTCTCTAGTTGCTTTGGGTGTAAGGTTAGGTTGTTTGAGATTTTTCTTGTTTCTATTGTTATAAGCTTCCCTCTTAGAACTGCTTTTGCTGTATCCCAAAGGTTTTGGACTGTCATTTGTCTCGAAGTATTTTTTGATTTCCTCTTTGATTTCTTTAGTGATCCATTGGTTGTTTAGTAACATATTGTTTAGCCTCCATGTGTTTGTGTTTTTTACAGTTTTTTTCTTGTAGTTGATTTTTAATATCAGAGCATTTTGGTCAGAAAAGATGCTTGACATGATTTCAGTTTTCTTATATTTACTGAGGCTTGATTTGTGGCCCAAGATGTGATCTGTCCTGGAGAATGTTCCATGTGCATTTGAGAAGAAAGTGTATTTGGCTGCTTTCAGATGGAATGTTCTATAAGTATCAGTTAAGTCCATCTGGTCTAATGTGTCATTTAAGGCCTGTGTTTCCTTATTGATTTTCTGTCTGGATGATCCGTCCATTGATGTAAGTGCACTGTTAAAGTCCCCCACTATTAGGGTACTTTTACTTCCACTCAAAGAACTCCCTTTAGCATTTCTTGTAAGTCAGAGTTAGTGGCAATGAATGCCCTCAGCTTTTGTTTGTTTGTTTGGGAAAGTATTTCCCCCTCCTTAATTTTTGAAGGATGGTTTTGCCAGATATAGATTTCTTGGTTGGTGGGGGCTTTTTTATTTCAACACTTTAATATAGTATTCCATTTTTTTCTTGGCCTGAAAAGTTGCTGCTGAAAAACCTGCCAAGTCTTAGGGAGGCTCCCTTTTATTTAAGTGTCTCTTTTCCTTTGCTGCTTTCAAAATTCTTTCTTTGTTTTTGACTTTTGACAATTTAATTGTAATGTGTCTAGGTGTAGCCCTGTTTGGGAACTTTGGAGTCTCATGTGTCTGGATGTCCATTTCTCTCCCCAGGTTTGGGAAGTTGTCAGCCATTATTGCTTTAAATACACTTTCTGTTTTCCTTCTGGAATTCCCATATTGTTTCTTTTCCCATATTGTTTCTTTTGGCTGTGTCCAATAAGTTCCATAGGCTTTGTTCACTTTTTCCTTTTGGCTCCTCTTACTGGGTAATTTCAAACATCCTGTGTTCTAGGTCACTGATTCTTCTGCATGATTGAGTCTGCTCTTGAAGCTCTCTGTGGAGTTCTTCAGTCATTTTATTTTTAAACTCTGGGATTTCTGGGGTTTTTTTCCCCAATGGTCTCTCTTTCTTCATTGAACTTCTCATTTCGTTCATGCATTGTTTTCCTGATTTCATTTAGTTGTCTGGATTTTCTGGTATTTCACTAAAATTTAAGAGGATTAGTCTGAACTATTTATTTGTCTGACACTTCATATACCTCTTTCTTTAGGGTCAGTTATTGGAGCTTATTAATTTCCTTTGGTGGTGTCATGTTTACCTCATTTTTTATGGTCCTTGATTTCTTTCATTGGTATCTGTGAATTTGAGTAAGTAAGTGTTATCCTCTTCCAGACTTTACAGGTTCACTGTGGCAGAGACAGTTTTGGGTTTTTTTTAACCAGTCAGCTGAGTTTGAGTTTCTGGATGTGTCCACAGGTAATTGCCTTGGGCAGGTTTGGCTTGATATCAGGGACTATTTTTGGGTGAGGCAACTGTCTGAGCTCTGAGGTCAGAGTGGGATATCTGCTAGCTGAGGAGATTTAGATAGGATTGCTGGCTTTCTTCCCTGCCCAAGCAAGGCTGAAGTATGGTTTCTGCAGTTGCTTGGTGAGATTTAGACAGTTGGGACTGGGTTTTATATTTATTTAGTAGTAGTTGGGGGCTATGAATTAGCTTACCTGGCAGGGCAGCAGAACTGTCCCCAGGACCTGCACAGCTTCTTGTTTGGGGACCCAAATCAGGCAAAACTATGCACTGAAGTCCCTGGCTAGAGAAACCACCAGTTTTGCTCTGCAGATGGGGCAAGCCACAGGCTGTGCTCTCTGTTCATCTATACTTTAAACAGATCTGCTGGGTGGGCTCTGGTTAGATCACCTGGTTGGGAGGGCCTGAAGCTGGGTTTAGCAATGAACATGGCTATGAATTAGTTTTCTTGCCAGGGCAGCGTGGGAGAACTGGATCCAAATCAGTAAGGCTCTTTTTGCTCTTGACTGAAGATGACCTGCACCCCAAGTTCCCTGGCCAAGTGGGGCCACTCGCGTTGCTCTGTGGACAATTAACTCTGCCTGCTGGACTCTTCAGTTGTGCATTATTGGGCTACATGGCTTTCCAGTCAGATGACGCTGCGAGCTATACTCAGCAATAGATGGGGCTGTGAATTAGCTCCCCTGCCTGGGCAGGGGCTCAAGAGGCTCTTGGTTTGAGGACCCGAATCAGGCTGACCTGTACCCTGCCAAGTTCCCTGGTCAGACTGCACCACCATCTTGGCCCTGCAGATGAGCAAAGCTGCTAGTCGGGATTACTACTTGGGTGCTGCAGGTAGGAACTTGGTCTGCCAAGATCTGAGTGCTGATTGTTGGAAGCCCTTTCCTCCTTCTCTGTTATAATTAGATTCCCAGCAGTAAAGCCTGTCAGATTCCCCCATGGGGCAGTACCAGAATGGGGGCTCCCAAGAAATGACCGACAATGCTGGGGGAGATGGATGTTTACCCTGGGTTCTCCTTCTCCTCTGGAGGAACCACAGACTCAGGGACAACCATTCCGTGGGATGCTATGCTGGCCTGAGGGAGGGGCAACGTGGTCAGCATACAGCTACGCTACTTTTCTTACCTTCTACTGCAGTCTGTCTTGGTCTCTGGTGCAGGGGGTGCTTCCTTCTCAGTCCCGTGTTCTAGGATTTTTTCATTCATGTCTTGCCTCTGAATAGTTGTTAGTTGTTCTTCTTGTGCTGGGGAGCAAAGTCAGGAATGACTAGGTCACAATCTTGGTGATATCACTCTCTAGAAGCATTTCTTTATATGTTCATTTGGGAACCCAAATGAGGGGGGATCTACCATCTTCAGCAGAAGCTCCAGATGTCACCTTGGAAGGCTTGATTCTGAGCAAAAATCAGGATTATAGGATCTTATAAGAGGTTTTTATGGGCCAGGGCTAGAATTGCTATAAGAACTTTGGCCCACGTTCCACTGGTCAGAACCCAGTCACATGGACATAAGATGTTTAAGGAAGACTGGAAACAAAATAATATCGTCTGCTTAGGCAGTTGCTATCAGTAGGAATTGTACACAATGATTAGGGAGCAGACAACTAGCCATCTTTGCCACAGGAGATTTAAAAATATATAAGCCCAGATTAACACAACATTGTAAAGCGACTATTCTCCACTAAAAATTAATTTTAAAAATATTTAAAGGTCCTATTCATGTTGTCTAGTATGTAGTTGAAAAGATATAACTCTCATAGAAGGTCCACTTATGTAGCATGTTCAAATATATTATACCCTGTCTGAAGACTCCTTTACCTGAAGGGAATGATTTGAATATTTACCTAGAAGCTAGAAAAAGGGTGGCAAAGAAGAAACTTTTAGTATCTTCAGCAGTTCTAGTAAAGAACCTATAACGACCAGTAGAGTTAAGCATCTAGACCTCTTGACAGGCATATCTTTGTAAGAGAATAGATGCATCAAACTTGTCTGTTGGTGATGGCAGCCATCCAGATTACCCAGTAAGCCTTACCCCTGATTGTATATTTATTTAATGTAAAATCATCTAATAATCAAATGATTTCCCACATCATTTTTCTTATAGGAAAAGAAGATGATACCAGCTAACAAGTATTCTCTTTTGCCTGGCTGTTTAATTCTCTCTGTAAGACAATTAGCATTTTGGTTAATATATAGGTTTTAGAGTTTTATAGCACTAATTTCATCATCCAATTTCTAATCAATCAATTGGGAAATAAGACCAACAGAGTGAGGCAGATGAGGGATCAAATATGACTTTTTTAAATTAATAAAGTTAGTATTGGAAAATGGGGCATATATCTGCAGTCAAGTGGATTACTGTATTTTGAAAAATTACACAGGTTTACCCTTCCAATTAAGGCAATGGTGTCAGGATGCAGACCGTCCTCTATAGAGCGTCCCCTGCATAGTTTATGGCAACAAGAAGTGAAGGATAACATTGGACACATGCTGGCAGCTCAAAGAAAGTGGCACAAGCATGCCCAAACTAGCAAGTCAGAGAAGTCATCTATTTTCCATGAAGCAGAGAAATGTTAGAAGAATTAAACTAGAAGAGCTCATGTGAAACTAATTTGATTGGGGGCAGCTGAAGACAGCAGCGTTAACATATTACAAATGACTTAGCCTCCTAGAGATAACCAGTGACCTATGGCTGTATGTAATTTTTTTTATTTGTAGGTCTGAGGACCAAGGTTTATACCACAGAAAACAGTGAGTGTTTTCTAAGTGCTTAGGCATCATTTTCAAATAATATTTCTATCTCATTGCTCCTTACCTTCAGCAGTTTCTAATATGTATAGTTTCTTATAATACTTGTTAAAGCAACATTCTTATTTTGTCCAACCACTTTTGATACAGAGCAGTTAGCCTTAACATATAAATAGATGCTCATTTTTTCTATCAGAGCATTTGTGTATTTCCAAAAGTTTAAATCGTACATCTGAATGAAAATAGGAAACAACTGAAAACATGTAAGATGCTGTTATATTAAGGATGATTTCAAAGTTATATTGCCAGTAAGAAATTTCTTAAGATAGAGAGGAAGAAAAAATTAGTATCATGATATACTGAATGAGAGCACAATCAGATTTTAAAGATCTATTACTGAGGGTTTATAAAGATCTATTACTGAGGGTTTACAGTTGAAAGGCAGATGTGGTGCTCATGCAAAAATCAAAGAAAATGGTCTGATATGCCAAGGAAGCAAAACACTACTTCAGCAAAGCTGAAAAATTAAGCATTGACTCATGGAAATAAGACACTGAGGAAACATTTGTGTACCTTTTGCCTTTAAAAGATACAAGGAAACCTTTGAGAAAGGAATAAAGTAAATTTGACATTGTTTGGGCAAATGACATTTAGAAGTTGCACATTTTAATTTTAGCATGCTCTCCTTTTCTTATGGAAGACTAATGTGATAGCAGATAGCTAGTTCATTTAATCGTATAGTAACTCAGTAAAAGAGGAGTGTGAATATTGCTATTAGTATATCCAGAAATAATTTTTCTTGCTTTAAACAATTTGGAGTTCTATTTCAAACACTTTTCATAATTTTGCAGTACGGCACGTAAGTCGCAACTTCACTTAAACCTACTGTGAACAATCCATTGCAGTGAAAGTGACACAGACCTTTCCCCAATGGTCGTCAGGTAATTGATGCTTTATGTGAAAGAATCAATGCAGAGCAAGAAGTTTACTTCTGGCTTCATGGAAATAGTAATTAAACTGTGATTTATGTATACAACAAGGTGAGTTAGATTAAATTTATAAAGTGAAATTCAGAAAAGATATATTCAGTGGCCAAAATGAGAAAGGAAGAAAGAAAACTGTTGGTAAAGCAGTAGCCTGTGTATACTACATTTCTTCTGAAACCCGGTAAAACATTATGGATAAAGGAAGGAAGGATATTGTTGACGCACCATCTCTATTTCTAAGCCAAGAAGAGCATCATGGTGATGAATCGTAACGGAGGCTAGAATATGAGTAGCATCCAGTTTTACAGCAGGGGATGGAATGGACTAAACAGAAATCAACACTAACCATCATACAAAATACCCAAGCACGACAAGCTTCACTGAGAAGTAACATCCTCTGTCTGGGTGACTGCTTGTCCTGAGGGTGGAATGCCAAAAGCTGAATTGTCAGCATTTTCTTCCTGAAGTTGTGATCACAGATCAATATCCATTTACTTGCCTTAACCACTGCTGAACAAACAGCTGTACCATAGGGGAGAATTACCTTGTTCAAAGATGAAGTGGAGACAAAGAAGAACACATGCACAGATACAGTAGAAAAGGGAGGAGTGATAATGAAAATTCAGATGAACTGTTAGGTTTAACACACCTCAGAAAAAATAATTCTGTCCAGGAAACAGAAAACATTTCACACAAATACATCTACATACCCTTAAATAAACCAAAGGAAAAATTCTAATAGAAAAAGGAGATTGCAGTAGTGATTAACAAAGAGAGGAGACATACTAGCAGATCAAATATGAATCAGCAAAACACAGAAAACAGAGAAATAAAATAAAACCACTACAGAAGTGAAAACTACATTTGAACCAGAAAGAAACAGAATACATACTACTGAAACGAGAGATAGGAATAAGGACAAACACAAGGTGACTATGAAAAACAAATTACTTAAAAACATTTTAATAACTGTGCTTAATGAGATGATAGACATGGAAAAACATAGGAAAACAAATGGGTGGATTTCTAAAAGAAGAGAATATTTTAAAAATCAAAAGGAATAAGATATTTCCTGAAATAATAGAAGAGTTGACTCTCTAGACCAAAAATGCAAAATTTGTTCCAGGAAAAGTTGATTTAAAATGACGAACACTGATACATATGTTGATAACATTATTGAACTTGAAGGATCAAGAAAGAAACCTATGGTATTCAGACAGAAAAATTAAATTACTTGTAAAGATGAAGCATAAAATAACTGGCTCCAGGATTCTCCTCAGTAAATTTGATGTAAGCCAACAGTTGAGCTATATATAGAGAGAGTGTTCCTAAAAATTTCGTAACACTCATATTTTTATTCACTTAAAACATGAGTGGGAGTTCTGGTTCAAGATGACGATGTATAAAGACCCTGAACTCACCTCCGTCCACAGACACACTGAATCTATGCTACATATGGAGCAATATCCTCTGAGGAAGAAGAAAAAACCTAGCTGAGCAGCTCCTGCGTAGCAGGTAAGTGAGAAGGAAAACTCATCAAAGTGGGTAGGAGAGGCTGAGTCAAACTCAGCATAATCCCCACCACCCCACAGTGGTGACTCACAGGAGGGGACTCCAAACCCCACCTTCTGCCTGAGAAGCAAAAGGTGTGAACTACACACTGAGCACCCCAGAGCACCCCAACTTTGAAGACTTCCACCTGAGAGACAAGACACCAAAGCATCTAGTTTTGAAAGCTAACATGGCTTGCATCCATGAGAACCAGAGGGCTAGAAACGGTTCGTAAAGGGCTCTCACACTCAGACTTACCTGCCCTAAAGCCCAGCACCGAGGCAGCCAACCGAAAAGCACCCAGACTTTCTGTGAAAGAGGTTATTTGCTTCTAGCGTTGATGTGAGGCGCAGGCATCTAATTGACACACATTTAGGAGCCAACTGAAATACTCTCCGGGGATAAATTCTCGCAGGCACCATTCTTACACTCTCCCTGTGCCTCACTCCAGCTCACTGCTGTCTTCCAGAAAGATCTTGTACCCTTGTTGGTACCCTGATTTTTGTGGCTGCTGCCCAAAGGATACCCCTATGTCACCTGGCTCTGGTGGCCAGAGGGGCTTATGCTCTCAGACCCCACAGGCCTGTAAGAAACTGAGAAAGAATTCTTAACTGGTTACCAACTCCAGGGCACAGCAAGAGGCAGCAAACAGAAATGCCCAGTCTTTCTATGAAAGACGCCTAGGAGCTAATATTTGTAGGTACAGTCTGAGAGGCAGGGTTGTACTTCAACACATATGTAAGGGCCAACTTTAATCGTCTCCAGAGGCCTCAGAGGATGGGCGATATCTTTGTGCTGTCCCTCTGCCATGCCCCAGAGTGCCAACATCTCCCAGAAGGGAACCTGTACATGTGTCTGGTGCCCCAGCTTTGTAGCTGCTGCCCAGGGGATGCCCTGTGATCGTCTGGCTGTGGTGGCCAGTGGGGCTTGAATTCCCGAGTCCCATGGCACTGTACCAAT